AAACGAGATGCACGTAATGTTCTTGCTCAACATGGTAAGCTCCAACGGCAGACCTTATTGGGCATGTGGTTTGCCTGCTGGCGGCATGCTGTAGTGGAAGTGGATTTGGGTGATCTCTCTTCTGGTTATGACAGCTTGCTTCGTCAGCACGATCAATTGATTGCGATAGCGTATCATTGTTTTCGCACCTTGGGTAGACAAGTTGTCAAGGCATTGCGTAGGGATGACACTCTTTTCTATGACCACCTGCTGCATGAAGGCTCTGATTATCTTGGCCCTAAAGAAGTTAAGAAGTTATGGAGTGTAGTCAGACGGTCACTGCCCAAGTTCCGGCAGCGTAAAATGACGACACCCCCATTCCAGCTTGAAGGGTTAGAAGATCAATGGTTGCCTCACTTCGGGCAGTTGGAAGTGGGCACTTCCACCACCCTACCAGAGCTTCTCGAAGTCTGTGTGGCACGTCAAACACGCAACTTATTTGATGCCCCACGTGCACTTACATTGTCAGAGCTGCCCTCACTCTTTGCACTTGAAGATGCCTTTCGGAGAACGCCGGCAGGCAAAGCCACAGGTGATGACCCTTTGCCGTCTGAGTTGTTCCACCATGGAGCAAGCTCATTGGCTGGGACATACCATGATCTTCTTATCAAAGAGTTCGTTTGGCAAACAGAACCTTTACAATATAAAGGAGGGCCAGTCGCTATCATCCCGAAGTGTCTGGCTCCAACTACAGCCAAACAGTTTCGTGGTATTCTCCTTTTAGGCAACATGGCCAAACGAACGCATTCTGTGCTGCGCCAACAAGTTATGGCATATCTAGAGCCAGCTAGATCGCCAGGGCAATTAGGAGGGTTTCGAGGACAGCAAGTCATGTTTGGATCCCAAGCTTTGCGCCTTTTTGGTAGGATGGCAGACAGTAGAGGAGTTAGTAGTGCGGTTCTCTTCCTCGATTTGTCAAATGCCTTCCATCATTTAGTGCGAGAGCTGGTTACTGGCATTTCAGCATCGGCACATTTGGATGCAGTTTTGCAGACCCTTCTTCAGACAGGTCACCCGGTTCAGCAGATTGAAGCAGCTTGTCAGCTACCTGGATTGCTCGCTGAGCTAGGAGCGCCTGACTCGTTGGTGAGATTGGTCTGTGATATCCATGCGGAAACTTGGTGTTCTCTCCCGAATCACCAGTATCTCCACACACATCGAGGCACGCGGCCTGGCAGCCCCCTCGCTGACATTATTTTTCATATCCTCATGGCCGATGTCGCAAAAGGAATTGACCTTTGGATCATTGACCATCGAGTTCATTTGCCTGTGTTACCAACTTTGGATGATGCATTCCCGAGTGTCCTATGGGCTGATGACGTTGCCATACCTTTGGCGACGGATCAGCCACAAGACCTTGTGCCGCTGCTTCTTGATCTTTTGTGTACAGTGCGAGAGTTGTTGCACACCAAGGGTTTCCTCTTGAACTTTGCACTAGGCAAGACTAATGCAATAGTTTCTTTCCGAGGACCAGGGGCAAGCAGCCTTCGCACCCAATATCAATTGATCCCTACCCCAGGAGTTGAGTGTGAATTTGCAGATGGTGCAAAAGCTTGGTTGCATTTTGTCCCGCGGTATAAGCACTTAGGCACGGTCATGACATCAGATCATGGGTTGGAAGCAGAGCTTTCTGCACGCATCGGATTGGCGGCATCGGCCTTTTCTCACCTTGGCCGTCCACTGCTTACCAACCGCCACCTTCCCACCAATGTGCGCCTAAGATTGTTTCAAGCTCTAATATCATCCAAACTTTTCTTTGGTTTAGGAGCATGGCCTACTTTGACGCCGAAACTTCTGCAGAGACTCACGAGTTTCTATGCTAAGTTGTTGAAAAGGGTTTTACATTGGCCTATTGACCAGTGGATGCAACCTCATGCACAGGTGCTTGCTGCCGGGCAAGTCTTAGACCCTCGGGCACGCCTGGCTGTGGATAGGTTGCTTTATGCACAGCGGGTGTTTGCAGTCGGCCCCTTTTTCCTTCAAAATGCCATTCATTTGGAAGACACCATGGTTGAAAACTCATGGCTGGCAGGTTTAAAGGCTGATCTACACTGGATGAGTGCAGTCACACCCACAGGATTGCCGGATGGATGGCAAAATGATTTGACAGTGCTCATTGACTCATGGCAAACACCAGGTGTCCGCTGGAAATCGCAGGTGAAAGCAGTTGCGCGCAAACACCAATTTCAAGAAAAGATGATGACAGATGTCGTTGCTTGGCATAAGAAGTGCTTTGCAGTTTTGCGACAGGCAGGAGCAAGCTTTTCTCTGGATCCGTTTGAAACGCAGTGGGAAGCAGGAGATCACAAATGCTTTTGTGGCGCCGCCTTTGCTACTCGTCGAGGGCTTTTGGCGCACCAAAGACGCAAACATCATCTGTTTTCCATTGAGCATCAATATTTGCAGGGAGCCACTTGCCAGCACTGTGGCCGCTACTGTTGGACAACTCAAAGGCTTCAACAACACCTTGCCTATATCTCAAAGAAGCTAGGGTATAACCCGTGTTTCCAAGCACTTGCTTCACAAGGCAGAGTGGTTGAGTATGAGGCGGTGAGGGTGCCTAAGGAAGTGCTCGGTCTGGCGCGGCGAGAATTTCTGCAGACACATGGACCTCAGAATGATCCCACTACGCAGTTATCCAAGCAGAGACAGCAATGGCAGATTGAACTTGACAGTTGCAAGGACCAACTTCGTATTGTAGCGAACCACTTGATGCACAGGAAAGAGGAGCCAGAATTGGGGATGCTCTTACAGAAGCTACCCAAAATTGGTTCCAGCAACATTATCCGCTGGGAGCCACTGCAGAAGATCAGCAGCAGTTGATTGATGCTTGGATTCAGATTTTGTGCATTGATTTTGGGGAGAACAACACGGATTGGGATAACTGGCTTGCATTTGTCTTTTTAGCCTGGGGCACGCACTGGCTTCCAGATATTATTGCTGAGTTTTGGGACGGAGAGGCTGAGAAAGTTGTTGATGAATTGTATGCACAATTTGCCACTGAACTTCCCCGTTACCAGATCCTGGCACGGATTGCTTTTCTGGAAAGCGGGTTGAAACATTGCGCTGAAACAACTGAACCGGTCCCACACCGGCCACCTCGAGCTCCAATTGATGCCATAAAGCACCCTACAAGTGGTTCACGAGTGCAGCAGCACGTCAAAAGACTTTTTGGAGATCAAGCTCAGTGGCTGAAGCAAGTGCGGGAATGTAGGTTTGTTGACCTGCCAGCTGATGTTCGCTGCCCTCGATACAGGGTTATTGAGGAGATGCCAATATTCCTTGTCGTTCACCTCTTTAGCGGGCGCAGACGGTTTGGTGATTTTCACTCGGCGCTGAAGCAATTTGCAGACAGGAGCAGATGGAAAGTTGTTATTCTCTCACTGGATACAGCAGTTTCCTTAGAGTTTGGCAATTTGATGCAAGGGACAGTGTCATGGGAGACATTGACGACATTGTACCTTTCAGGGCGTGTGAGTGCCACTTTGTGTGGCCCACCGTGTGAAACATTTAGCGAAGCTAGATTCACTGAAGCTCCTGTTGGTACGGGCAAGTGGCCAAGACCCCTGAGATCAGCAGAGCGCCTCTTCGGCTTGGAGGCGCTGAACATGCGTGAGTTACGTCAGTGCGCTGTTGGGAGCGCGTTTTTCCTGCAATGCGCGTGGGCCCTCTGTGTGCATATTGCTCAGGGAGAGATGTTTGTAGCTGAACATCCTGCCACTCCCTTCGATCCCAACCGCCCAAGCATATGGACGAGCCCACTCATCCAACTCCTGCTCCAATTGCCAACTTTGAAGCTCCACCACGTTGCACAGTTTCGTTGGGGGGCCACCGCAGTTAAGCCCACGGGGCTGCTGGTGTTGGACATGCCATTTTTTCACAAAGACATCTATGCAGAGGTGTTGAGTGACGTGGTAAAACCCACAGCAGCTGCTATCGGACAAGATGCAAGTGGGCAGTTTAAAACTGCGCGACATAAAGAGTACCCACCACAATTTTGTCGCGCACTTGCGAATGCATTTGCGCAGCAATTCAGTCGGCTTGTTAGTAAGGGCCAATGCCGTACAGAGGCACCTGCTAATGTAGCGCTGGACGAGTGGATCTCTTCAGCCGAACAGGCCAGTGAGGTCATCAGGCAAGGGGCTAACTGGCTCCCTGATTTTCAGGACCTCTAATTTGCTGCACGCCAATGGGCTGCAAGGGATAGACCCTTCGAACGCCGGAAATGAAATGAAAAATGAAAAATGAATGTTCATAACCATCTCATAATCATGGCCATCACCGAATCATCAAAGGTGGTTTAACCCGGTTGCTGGATTTGTTCATTATTGACCTCCCCCAGTCTCGTTCAACCACGCATGTGAGATGTGGCATGTCCAAAGCAGGAGCTGGCGGTTGCGGAGGAGCCTCAGAATGATCCTCACAAAAAAAAGATCGGGAGCTCAGGGAAATTTAGAAAAAACAATATAATATAAAAAATAATTGGTTTCGTTGGTTTTCTACGTTTCCAGGAGGTTGACGAGCGCTTTAGAAAGTGCAGGTGGGATCCCTTAACTAGAAGAACTGATCAGGAGTGATGTCAGTCATGCACGTGGCCAGCGCTTTCTTTGTGTGCGCATTGAGGGTCCAAGTTGCAGGCTTCAAAGAACTTTGGAATGGTTCATGATCGAATCTATGTATATATATATTATAAATATATATATGTGTGTGTGTATAATACGGTACGTATATGATATATGTATGCACCGTCAAATTTACACATCACCCCAGGTCTGTGGCGGATAAGATTGATATACAATGATATACATATCATATGGATACATAGATGGTCAAATTGGTTGATTGATTGATTGATTGACTGATTGATTGACTGATTGATTGATAAGAAGGGTGTTGGAGATTAGCACTTCAGCGCCGTGAGCATCAGTTCCATGACTTACAAAGTCCCTCAGCCAAGAAACCTGAGCACGAGGCGGGTGTACAATCGTGCACACTGTTTTCGGCTGCCCTGCTTGTGGCTTGCCATTGGCTGCCTGGGAACACATCACGCCAGCTGGAGGGCTTGTCCATGCAAAAGGATTCTGGAAAGGCGGTGCTTGCGTTGGCACCTGGAAAGCTGGCATGGCCACGCTGTTGTTTTGGACCGTCTGTCCTGGCCTGACTTGTGGCACCACCTGCAGCGCCTGGACAATTGCTTGGGATCCAGGCGCAAGCACCTGCCTTATGTGCATGTGCATTGGTGCAGTTTGTGCCGCAGGCGTGATGTGCGGCACCATGCTCCTTGGCGCTTGTGTTTGCACCGCAGCTGGGATCATTGCTCCAGGTGCTTGGACACATGCTCCCGCCGCAGGGGCAGTCATGCCCTGTGGGAATTGCCCTTGTCTGATTTGTGGTGAATGTGCTGGTTGGGTGGGGACAATTGGTACGCTCTTTGATGCTTCCATCACAGCGCTTTGTGCCGAAGACATGAAAGCAGGCATCATCGTCTGTGTGGCAGGCGGCTGGCTGTGCCCTGCCTGCTGCATGAACACAATATTTGCTGAATTGGCTTGGTGGGGCACGGACGGCACCACTGAATGCATTGTAGGCACAAAGCTCCGTGGCGCGTGACCCGGCACCTGGGCTGCGGGCATAGTGCTCAACTGCCACACAGAGCCGTCCAGTGGTCGACTAGAGGCAGCAAATGGCCGGAACATCATCACCTGAAGCTAGCAGCTCGCAACTTTGGCACGCTGTAAGCCGAAACACTTGCCTTAGGTTCCAAATCGCGACCTGGCTTTAAGAACCTTGACAGATCTTGACAATGAATCAAGTGCAAATGGCAGTTCAAGGGCGAGTCTAAAGAATAGGGATCCCAAAACCTGCTTCGCATGAGAAAGGCAAGCAAGGAGTGGGAATTGATTTGGGGGTGCTTGAGAAATGCCTGAACATGATCAGAACGTTATATCTGCAGCTCTTGGAATTGCTGTAAACCTTTCAAAGCTGCCTGTTTCAGTCTGGTTCAGCAGCTCGATGACCCTCACCTCGGGTCCAAAGAAGTTATGCAACACCACTCATTCGACACTTCATAATACGGGTATTGACCAAAATTTTGGTACCAGTGGACAACGGACCTCATTCTTAACCTCTATATTGATCCATATTGGGGATCCACAATCCACTCCAACTGTTTGAAGTCATGCTGGTAGTGGTGCAAGAGGCATCCTCTGTCTGAGGCATATAGGAGTTGTAGTCTATGGCTCGTCGTAGTATGTACCCCCATCCTAGCGAAACAGTTCCAGCCCTTGAGTTTCCCTGGCTTCGAACATGTAGCGACCAGCCCGAATGCCAACCTGCCATGCCCAGCACTCAGAACAAGCTCCAAGCATCCACCACATCACTCATCGCCTAATTGCAGTAGCCACTTGCCGAAATTCTCTATGGGTGTCATCCCCCAAACAACTCACCCCGCTTTTGCAACTGAGCTCGGGTGTACGTGTGCTCTGGCACCAGCATAGAGGTAATGCAAACCGCCCTCATTTAACCTGGCAGCAAATGGACTGGTGAGACATGATGCCATCGCTGCCACCCCCTGCAGGCAGCCGGGGTGACGTCATGAGGATGTTGCCCGTGGTTCCCACCATGACCTGCCACAGCACTCTCTTCCAGTAAAGGCAGTGTTCAAAGTCTTCGAAGGTCTTCGGGCCCGGGCATTCAAAGTGGTGTCAGGGGCTTGGAAGCACGCTTGCCTGAAGTGACGGAGAGAATCAGATTCAGGATAATGATAATGGCATGACGCACAGGATCATACTGATCATACAACTTTGTATTTGAGCATAGATCACGGACGACTGGCCATGTGCAGAGTGTATCAGAATCTTGGGTTGAATTTTGCTACAAGGATCATTTTGGAGTCATCCACGTAAGATTCCAACACAGAGAGCTGTTTCCGGGCATCTTCCTTTGCATCCTGATGCAGTCATAGTCGAGTGAGTTCTGCACCATGAATGTTGGACAAGCTGACAACATGTTCCGAAAGGGGATCACCATATCATGGTCATTAAACACATCACAACAATGCATGATCATAAAAGTGATGGCACTGTAATCATGATCGTGAACATAACCGCAGCAGTGAACGCAAGCAAAACATGTCAAAACATGTCAAAACGATTCAAGAAGTAGCAAAAGGAAATTTTAGCAAATAATACCAATTGTCGTCATCCTCCTGGTCGTTGATCCTTTCATTATCATCATCACTGTAAGCATCTTCGTCGTCGTCGTCGTCGTCATCATCATCATCGTCGTCGTCGTCGTCGTCGTCATCATCATCATCATCATCATCATCCTTATCCACATCCACATCCTCATCTTCCTCTTCTTCTTCCTCCTCCTCCTCCTCCTCGTTGTCGTCGTTGCCGGGATTGTCGTCAACACCACCAACACCATCACCATCATAAGGAATCTAGGTCTCGTGAGAGACTTTGCAGCAACGCAGGTGTTGAAGAAGTCTTAACAAAATCTCTTCACTGCCTAGCTGGCACATCAATTTCGATCGGGCCATTCGTTAATCATTGATTCGTCAATTTGGGGATGCCTTCAGGTGCATTGCATCTGCAGCCCGCCTCCTCCATTTCGGTAGCTGATCCCTGCAAACAGGAAAAAAAACGGGATCCAGTAGCAGAGACAAACATTCCAACCTCCCGTTTCCGAAATGGTCAAAGGCACGCGGATGAAAGACACCGCGTTTCCAAATTAATTGTACCCCCTATCACCACCTCCGCGAAGCCAGCTGCGAAGTGCGCAAGGCCTGCCAAAGTTCGTATCTGACTATGTCAATGTCAATGTCAATGTCAATGTCAATGTATGTCATGTCCAAATGTCTCAATAGTCCTAGCATGTCCTATCCCCCCGGACCTCCTGACTTCGGTGTGGCCGCAAGCCTTAGTAGGTTTGCCGACTGAACCATTTTTGCAAATGGCACAGGTTGAGCTAAAAGGAGACACATCGAATGCTCAGGATATGTCATGATATTTCATGAAATTTCATTGCACCGCTATCAACGTATAGATACATCTAAATTACAATAGTGCACGCACACGCGCACACGCGCACACGCGCGCACACACACACACACGCATAGATATAGAGAGAGAGAGATATATATATATACATGTCTGTATATATATATATACACATACATACATGTGCGCGTGTGATGTAAAAGTAACGTAATGTAATGCAATGCATGTGGACACATATCGTCACATATTAAGTACATATACATCATATACTACATGTTGGTGTGCATCTTCTCGAAACCATGGAGCTCACAAGGTAGGCCTGCACTGCTGACATCTGCTGACAGCTGCACGCCCTGTGGCTCCCCACTGTGCAGTCGCACCATCCATAGCCGCATCCTGAGGTCATTGGATTAGTGATCAATGCCTGCAAAACTGACATTGCCTTGTCCAAAAATGGAGAAATACCACACCTGCATGGGATGGAATATACTGGTGTTCCAAATGTTCAATCAACCTCATGTGCTTCATCGACAAAGCTTTCTGATTCTCAATTCGATCAAGCTGTATCTCCTCCGCCAGTTCGTCTTGCTCCTGACAAGTGCAAGAACAGTTGAGATTTCAATTTCGTAAGGCCAAATCCTGGAAAAGTGCCTCAGTTGCTCTAAAATGATGCTGGGAATTGGCACTAAGGTCAACACGACCGCCTCACCATCCTCACCCTTGAGCTTTTTCTTCGGAGGCATCTTGACCGTGCACCCAAGCACGGCCACTGAGCCAAAATTGCAGAATGTGTTGGTGGAATCCTGCCCCCAAAAAAAAAATGCGCAAGGGCAAAACAACTCCCTGCAGGTAGTAGCGAAGCACTCGACGTCACCATGTGTCGCCCATCTTTTTACAAACAGCCAATGAGCCGGTGATCAAATGGCGCTCTCACATTGACTGCGGACTGCTTTTCATGTCTGAGACTGCCTGCCAGCGTCCACATTGTCAAGGCACACACCATGATGATCATGACGTGATTCACTGCACATGTCGTCCGCAGCTTCGACGAGCACTTCTTTTAGCTGCGACAGATCGGAAAGGTGACTGTCCCAAGGGGGTCTCAGAGCGAACAGTACCTAGCTTATTGATTCAAAGGATTGACCGCAACCGATATTGGCGCGAAATGTTCTCAAGGTATTTTGGACTGTTCAAAGCCTCCAACGGCCATTGAACAGGTGGGGCTGGATGTTCAGTTTTGCGCCCTTGTGGGAGCTGGTACTGTTCCGAAGACCCGATCGTAGCATGGAATAAACAACAGGTACACCGCCATGATGCGTGTTTTCACACAGGCGGGGAGCTAACGTCTTACACTGCATGCATGCCCATGTGTTGGCAGGAGAAGTCTAGCTACAAAAAACCCTTCAATTGATTGGCCCAACGGCATCCTCCAAGAACTGCTGCAAACACAATGGGCAAACAGATTTTTTAGCGTTAATCGTCAGTCTTTCAATTGAGACTGCAAGGCTTGCACTAGGCACTGGCTTTCCTACAGTACCTTTTCTCAATGGCCGGTGTCGAGCCAATTTATGCTGCTTCAACATGAGCTTCCCAAGAAAAAACATAGTAGCCACAGATTGGCAGCGCCAATCAATCCACATTTACACTTGGTGTTGACCTACCGGGCCTACCCCTTTTCTTCAAACTGCTGAACATTCCCGGGTTGCTGGCAACTTTTGAGCCTATCTTCTATCTTATAAAGTTCATCTGAAATCAGCTGCGACACCAATTAGGAAGATCGAAAAGTCATAGAAATCCATTGGAACTGAGCAGAGATTTTGCACCTCCCCTCCTTTCCACTCTGTTCCACCCCACACGGCTGCCCCGGTTCGACAGTGCACCGCACTAGAAAACCACCGGTTGCCGTGGTCACCAGCATCAGCTGCAGTCTCCCCAAAACAAATCCGATTTGAAGTAGATCTTGTAGGTGGCCTTAGACCCATCCATGCGAAAATGTCTTATCGGTAACCCCCAATGGCAGTCTTAAATAATAGGGAAATGATGTATTCAACCATCAAAATTTGGGATCCCCTACTCTAAGACAAGCCCATATACACAATAGAGTAAGAATGAATGAAGTACAACACCCCAAATAGAAGGGGGAAAACTGAGAAAATCAGGAGACACTTGTACACTGACGAATTTCCCTCCCTTGTGGCCATGATTTACATACAATCGGTTGGAGCAAACTGTGTTTTGTTAAGGATGCTTTATCCCTATCCATTGGCTTGTCTTGTTCTCATTTTCTACAAAACATTCCCACATATTCCCACGATGTTCCATCATTGTCATTCATTTTCCATGATATTCATCTTCCAAATGCAAAGGTTTCAAGCTGCTTGTCGAGGTGCTGACTCCCTCCTCTTGCAGGCTTGTCGCAGCCGACGGTTCTTCACCGAAATGGGGCCATCCGCCACCATGTCTAGCTTGACTGTGACATAGTACCACACCTGAGGGGATCACGGACATGGCCCACGGGATTGTCGGAAAATAATCCGCTTATCATTTCCCAGATCGAAATTGCTATTTCAAGAGTATAAGCCCATTTGTCAAACACACACACACAAGCGCACACAGACACACAACACACACTAGACAAGAAATGGATCATTGAAGTGATCCGTTGGGAACTGAATCCCCTCACATGCAATTGGATTAGAAACAATGACCTAAAGAAGATCTCCTCGAAGTGGTATGCGATGAACATGAAGAAATTCAGTGAAAAACGGAAAACAGATGGCACGTACGTCACTCTGGCGTCCCAGAATGAATCCACACTTCTCAACAGGCGTCTTCGTTGGCCTGAGTCCTGTTGAGAAGCCTCAGACCCCCTGCTAGAAGGAGAGAAAAAAGAAAAAAGGAGAGGTTTTACATCTATTCAGATGTTACACACACTCACAAATAGAGAACTCTCTCTGACTCTGAGTCTGACTCTGACTCTGACTCTCTCTTTCTCGTCGTGCCCGCATATGGCCCAAAACATCCCAAAACTGAAGAACAAACACAACGTGCCATCTACAAAGCCATGAGTCTGCAGCTAGCACAGTGTTGAAGGCCAGCTCTGCATTCTCAAGGCCCTGCAGGATGTCGAGTTTCAGTAATGCTGGGAGCCTTGTGGATGACTGCGACACAGACATAGTACTCCTTCTGTGCACATTTGCACTGACGCTCACATACCTCATATCCAATGTACTGCACCTGCATATGTATTGTATTTATCTATAGATATACACACACACATATATATATAATATATATCTGTGTGTGTGTATTGAAAACTATCCGTGTGTGTGTGTGTGTGTGCATGTATGTGTATTGTATGTACATTGCACATACTAGGTAGGGTGGGTAGGGTAGGGTAGGTAGGTATGAAGGTAGGTGTGAAGGTAGGTATGAAGGTAGGTATGAAGGTAGGTATGTAGGTATATAGGTATGTATGTAGGTATGTATGTAGGTAGGTAGGTATGTGTGTATGTGCAGGTATGTGATGTGTGTATCTATGTATCTATGTATCTATGTGTCTATGTATCTATGTATGTATCTATGTATCTATGTATGTATCTATGTGTCTATGTATCTATGTATGTATATATCTATGTATCTATGTATGTATCTATGTATCTATGTATGTATCTATGTGTCTATGTATCTATGTATGTGTATATCTATGTATCTATGTATGTACCTATGTATCTATGTATGTATCTATGTGTCTATGTATCTATGTATGTATATATCTATGTATCTATGTATGTATCTATGTATCTATGTACGTACGTACGTACGTGCGTGAGTGCGTACGTACGTAGGTAGGTGTACATGTATCTGGGAGCCATTGACTCACATCAGCCTTTTCATAATCGCCGTCCCTCACGCCGTTCCGCCGGCGCCTTGGGCTCTTCCTCCAAGAACGCTTGCAAGCCAGCCAGCTGGCGTGCATGGTGCAACTGCCAATCCTCACGTGGAGGGTCTGGCCCTAGTCCAAGGTATGTCTGTCCAGCATTTAACAATCACGATAGCCATGGATTCCAACTGAACTACTGAGAGAACAGGGCCAACCTTGAATGTTTTTGGTCTGATTTTTTTGGATCTGTCAGGAGCGCCGCAAACTCTACAAGTTGCTCCAAGGCGCAGTTTCCGGTGCTTCTGTCTCTTTGGATCTTTTCAGTTCTCGCAGCTCTTTCTGACACTCCTAGCTATGCATTGGAGGAGGTCATGGTGAAAATTGATGAATTATGAACAATTGTCATTGAGATACATTGACAGCACTATCTACTAAGCACTATCTACTAAGCACTATCTACTAAGCACTAGGATTACCAGGGCAGTTGCGTGGTGGCAATCGCAATCAGTCGGGGCATGGACTTGACACAGGCGTATGGCTTATGGCAACATGCCTTTTTCATCCTTCATCGACCCACCAAGGTTGGATATTCTTTCTTCGCTTGTCGTTGTGGGAAGATGGTTTTTCATAGTTTGTTTTTTTGTACCTACCATCTGGTTATTTAACATAGCCATGGAAAATGGCCCATTTATAGATGGTTTACCCATTAAAAATGGTGATTTTCCATGGCTATGTTAAATAACCAGATGGTATATACGTGCCCAACTTTATATTGCTATTGAAATACACCCATTGCATGCCTGCACGACATCCTCAAAGTCACGCTGCAACCTGCGCTACCGGCAGAATAGATTCTATTGGGATGGTGAGCATGTTGACTGTGTGATGATACCTGATGATATCTGATGATGTTTCAGGTGATAGTTACTCCAATGGTTGATGATGACATCAAGTGCTGAATTCCATTAAATTCCAATATGTTTGTTTGTGGTGCACATTCTTACGTCACTTCAGCTTTTGGTTCTGGACCCAAAATTGATCTCAACCGCCTCTGCCTAGGCAATCAGCACAGGTTTCAGAGTGCTGGGGACGCTTGTGCGGTCGGGGGACTCATCAAACGCTGAGCAAAGCTCGCGAATGAATCTGCACACATCATATTCCTGGCGGAGATTTGCGATGATTATCGGCTCCTGCTCATGCTACAGCCCTAATGGGCCCTGCCCGCGATTAATATCACCAGTATTCAGCCATGTCTGGTGAGCTCCAGATACAAAAATCGAGCTGAGGTCTGAATGGATCTGTGGATATGTGTTGTGTTTACCTTTTTCTACCATTTTTGTGCCAAATAGAAGGCGTTCCTGCCAGTTTTCCTTTCACCGCACTCTGGGATTGTTGGTGAAGAACGATGCAAGGATGGGTCTGTGAAACGAAGTGGGGCTGCTGAAGGGTTTCACAAAGCATTCCTATTTCGCTTTCTTGAGCTCACTTCAAGTCAAAACCAGGTTTGTATCCGATATCCTGTTGCTTACGCGGCCACCCAAAACAAAAAAAACCTGAATTCACCCACCTCATCACTCTATCAAGGGGATCTGCCTCATCCAATGTTGCTATATAATTCCTGCTTTAGAAGACAACTCGAGCAACCCATCGGCCTCCTTACATCTCAGTTGGAGTATTTCAACAATATGCCAATCGTGTCTCATCCCCCCACACACAAAAAATAGTAAAAACACCAAAAAGTGATGTTCAATGACCCCGACCAATGGCAAGCTGCATGCCCCGCGCGGAAGGCATCCCCACAGGGGCCCGTTACCGCAGCCTGGGCCATCGTCAGTTCACTCCATGTTATTTGGTTTTGCAGTATATTGTAGTGCTATCATCTTCTTATATATGTTGTGCTATTATTATTACTATACTGCAGTTGTGATTTACATTATTTTTTACATCATATCATAATGGTATAGTACCATATGATATCGTATCATATTCTATAACCATATTTTATGTTATGATATGTTTATGTTATGTGTTAAACTTTGAGGCTATATATATACGTATATATACACATGCACATACGATAATCACGATGTGCAGTAGTGCTTTCAACGGGCCTTGCTGGCAGATCTTCCGAAGTCGATCAGTTGCACTATTGGCTGCTTGCTGTGCGCATCTTTCCTGTTGTCCAGATGGGAACAACAATCGGTGGATTAGTTTTAGGAACCCTTAAGACAGCCAAGTAGTTTTATGTGTTTTAAAGTAACCCCTAATGAGATCATATAATAGGAGAGAAAAGTTGTTGAATTGATTAGTTTATCACCACCGGTTTAGGATCTACTTTTCTATGATTTTAGGGCCTACGGATGAGGGAAAAGCTACAGAAAACGCTGCTAAATCCCAGCCAAATCTGCCAAAGTGGCAGTGCCAGAACTTTGGTACCCTCTGGTGAACTAACATAGCAATGGAAAATCACCATGTTTAATGGGAAAATCCACTATAAATGGCCATTTTCAATTGCTATGTTAGTTCACCAGAGGGTATGTCATTTGTTCTCACCCTGTGTTCAATGGGCCTTCAGAATGACACCCTCTATGAACCATGCTGGTTGAATTTTGCAACTGGGCGGCATTCCGATGTTGTGCAAATGAAGGTCACCTGGCAAGGCGAAACACGTGGCCACAAATGGTCGTTAATCGGCAACCTCAGCTACAAACACAGTGAATTTGTGGTTGGACATTGGCATCTTCACCATTGGGCCAAAAACCCATAGCAAGGTGTAGAGGAAAATGGGATGCACCCCATGCCTCCCTTGAAAATTGGCCATTTTCATGGGGAGCATGCTGATAAAATGGTGGTAAAACATCCAAGTTGTAAGTGTACCCTATTTTAATTTTCTTTATAAACACCATTAAATAACAATAGTTATTTATTAACATGATATCCCCAAAAAAACAACGAGTTAACCAATCAATCAGACCCAACTGCTGCAACAACCAGGTCACCATGGACGAGGCCCTTGTCGTGCATCGACTGAAGGGCCGCCACCACTGCTGAGCCAATCCTGAGGGTTTTATTGCCAGTGTGCTGTCTCGAATCGGGTACCCTACAAACAGTAAATACGTCTATATATATATATACGTGTGTGTGTGCATATATGTATGCGTGTCTATCTGTCTATCTGTCTATCTGTCTATCTGTCTATCTGTCTATCTATCTCTATCTCTCTATCTCTCTATCTTTCTATCTCTCTATCTGTCTATCTGTCTATCTGTCTATCTGTCTATCTGTCTATCTGTCTATCTATCTATCTATCTATCTCTCTCTCTCTCTATCTCTCTATCTTTCTATCTTTCTATCTGTCTATCTGTCTATCTGTCTATCTGTCTATCTGTCTATCTGTCTATCTGTCTATCTGTCTATCTGTCTATCTATCTATCTATCTATCTATCTATCTCTCTCTCTATCTCTCTATCTCTCTATCTCTCTATCTTTCTATCTTTCTATCTATCTATCTGTCTATCTGTCTATCTGTCTATCTGTCTATCTGTCTATCTGTCTATCTGTCTATCTGTCTATCTATCTGTCTATCTCTCTATCTCTCTATCTCTCTATCTCTCTATCTCTCTATCTCTCTATCTGTCTATCTGTCTATCTGTCTATCTGTCTATCTGTCTATCTGTCTATCTGTCTATCTATCTGTCTATCTGTCTATCTATCTGTCTATCTGTCTGTCTGTCTGTCTATCTGTCTATCTGTCTGTCTGTCTGTCTGTCTGTCTATCTGTCTCTCCGTCTATCTGTCTATCTGTCTATCTTTCCATTTTTCTATCTGTCTATCTGTCTATCTGTCTATCGATCGATCGATCGACCGATCTATCTATCTATCTATCGATCCATCTCTCTCTCTATCCATCCATCCATCCATCTATCTATCTATCTATCGATCTAATCTATCTATCCATCGATCTATCTATCTAATACATATATAGAATGCATACCTGGAAACATATCTGGTTCGCTCCCGTTTGCCTCAGGTTCTTGGCAAAAGCTGTGCCAAAAATACATATGTGCATATTTAAAAAAAAAACTAATGTGTTCTGAATACTGTATATATATATGCACATATAACTGCCCCATAGAATTTAACTAACTGCCCTTTAATTAACATCCTTCTATGGCCCCGGGCGCCTGGCGGCGTTCGTCTCCTCGGGTGGCGCCAAGCCATGGCGCAAGCCGCGCCAAGTCTTTGCCTCAACTGCCATGCTGCGTTTGGCCCAGGCAATCTATGGAGAATGCCGCACTGGTCCCGATGGAAAGTTTCAACACATGAATGTTATATAGATGAAGATATAGATGTATACCTATATTTAGATAAAGAAATAAGATATGGATACAAATGTAGACATGGATATGGATATAGATATTGATATTGATATTGATCGATCTTTTGAGGGGTCCTCAGTTGGGATGGTTACCTCAATCCAGTTCCCATCATTCCAGTGATGTCGCGATGGTCTCAACATTCATTTATCGAGATATACTATGATATATTCAAATATCCACGTCAATCAACGGGGGACCCGGATCATTTTGAAACACCGGATAAGGCTCATTTTGAAACACAGAGGATAAGGATCATTTCGAAACACAAAAGCCCCGGATAAGGATCATTTTGAAACACATCCAAGATACTGCTGTTTAAGACGTCTGGAAGGCATAGCATTTCTTTGTAACCACCATGGCGCTTGTAACACCACAGCACATTGATGAAACCCTAGCAAATCAGCTCTTCAAACAAAAACAATCAAAAAAACAAGTTAGCTCTTACAAGGAGATTCATCCCTATCATAAATGCAATGTGACCGCAAAAGGCTTGAGTCTTTTCCCGTCAGCCATCTATTTGTGGCAGCTTTGTCCGGCAATTCATGAGGATCTCGTTCGAGACACGTATCAAAAAAAATAAAAATGCATCAAAAAAAAATATCCAGCACGCATCAAAAAAAATATATATGCATCAAAAGAAATATCCAGGTGCCACTGTGTGAGACCTCACTGGTTTCGTGCTGCAAACCTAGATCAAAAAAAATATCCGTATCAAAAAAAAATATCATAGTAGTAGTAGGAGGAGTAGTAGTAGTAGTAGTAGCAGTAGTAGTAGTAGTAATAGTAGTAGTAGTAGTACTACTACCACTACTACTACTAGTAGCAGTAGTAGCAGCACTAGCAGCAGTAGCAGCAGCAGCAGCAGTAGTAGTAGTCGTAGTCGTAGTCGTAGTGGTATGTAGTAGTCGTCGTCGTCGTCGTAGTCGTAGTCGTAGTAGTCGTAGTAGTCGTAGTAGTCGTAGTAGTCGTAGTAGTCGTAGTAGTCGTAGTAGTAGTTGTTGTTGTAGTAGTAGTAGTAGCAGTAGTAGTAGTAGGAGTAGTAGTAGTAGTAGTAGTAGGTAGTAGGTAGTAGGTAGTAGGTAGTAGGTAGTAGGTAGTAGGTAGTAGGTAGTAGGTAGTAGGTAGTAGGTAGTCGGTAGTAGGTAGTAGGTAGTAGGTAGTAGGTAGTAGGTAGTAGGTAGTAGGTAGTAGGTAGTAGGTAGTAGGTAGTAGGTAGTAGGTAGTAGGTAGTAGGTAGTAGGTAGTAGGTAGTAGGGAGTAGGTAGTAGGTAGGAGGTAGTAGGTAGTAGGTAGTAGGTAGTAGGTAGTAGGTAGTAGGTAGTAGGTAGTAGGTAGTAGGTAGTAGGTAGTAGGTAGTAGTTAGTAGGTAGTAGGTAGTAGGTAGTAGTTAGTAGTTAGTAGTTAGTAGTTAGTAGTTAGTAGTTAGTAGTTAGTAGTTAGTAGTTAGTAGTTAGTAGTTAGTAGTTAGTAGTTAGTAGTTAGTAGTTAGTAGTTAGTAGGTAGTAGGTAGTAGTAGTAGTAGTAGTAGTAGTAGTAGTAGTAGTAGTAGTAGTAGTAGTAGTAGTAGTAGTAGTAGTAGTAGTAGTAGTAAGCAGTAGTAGTAGTAAGCAGTAGTAGTAGTAGTAGTAGTAAGTAGTAGTAGTAAGTAGTAGTAGTAGTAGTAAGTAGTAGTAGTAAGTAGTAAAGTAGTAGTAGTAAGTAGTAGTAGTAGTAGTAGTAGTAGTAGTAGTAGTAGTAGTAGTAGTAGTAGTAGTAGTAGTAGTAGTAGTAGTAGTAGTAGTAGTAGTAGTAAGTAGTAATAGTAAGTAGTAATAGTAAGTAGTAGTAGTAGTAGTAGTAGTAAGTAGTAAGTAGTAAGTAGTAAGTAGTAAGTAGTAAGTAGTAAGTAGTAAGTAGTAAGTAGTAAGTAGTAAGTAGTAAGTAGTAAGTAGTAAGTAGTAAGTAGTAGTAGTAGTAGTAGCAGTAGTAGTAGCAGTACTAGTAGTAGCAGTAGTAGCAGCAGGAAAAAAGAAAGGAATAGTAGGTAGCAAGGGGAACCGGTTTAAAAATAAAAGCGGGTGGGGGGGTGCAGGGGGGAGGGCGCAGCGCCTCCCCCCGCAATGCGTACCAAGAGAGAAGCACATAGGCACAAGTCTCAATGGATATATTGCAAGTAAGAACGAGAAGATCAAGAAAGAAGCACATAGGCACAAGTCTCGATGGATATCAGCAAAGATGAAATTAACCCAAATAAACGATGATGCTTATGCAAAAAGAAAGGAATAGTAGGTAGCAAGGGGAACCGGTTAAAAAATAAAAGCGGGTGGGGGGGTGCAGGGGGGAGGGCGCAGCGCCTCCCCCCGCAATGCGTACCAAGAGAGAAGCACATAGGCACAAGTCTCAATGGATATATTGCAAGCAAGAAGAAAGAAGCACATAGGCACAAGTCTCGATGGATATCAGCAAAGATGAAATTAACCCAAATAAACGATGATGCTTATGCAAAAAGAAAGGAATAGTAGGTAGCAAGGGGAACCGGTTAAAAAATAAAAGCGGGTGGGGGGGTGCAGGGGGGAGGGCTGAAGAGGGGCCCTAGCGTCTACTTCAAGATCAGCTAAGGCGTCTTCCCCAATGACAGCACTCTTTTACTCTCAGCCTGTTGCCGGTCAGTGCTTGTCTACAGGGTTACTCTATATACCTCTTGAGCCTTGAAGGGCGCATATAAATGTGCTCAATACTCATGCATGTACCTATGTAGGTATTAGGTCGAAACAAAAACACAGGCACAAATTCAAAAGCAATGAGTAGAGCACTACGCCTTGCCGTACCCAATTGGTATTAAGAGTATCTTCCTGACTTCTCTACACAATGGCAAATAGCAAAAGAAACCGGAGTTACGCAGTGGCTTCGAATTGAAAAACACGTGAAAGCAGCGAATGTCCTAAGGACATGTCGAAAAAGAACAGCGGATTCGCTAATTTTTCCAGTAGTGACCAATGGTGCTTCGCGCACGGTCTCTCCACAGGCAAAATGCCTCGCTCTACCGGTGAAAGTTCGAATTGAAAAGTTCGGGTTCGCAAGATTCAGAAATTCAGGTCATACGAAAACAATTGACCAAATCACGAAATAAACGGAAATAGCGGATCTCCAAAGTTGCTCATTCAAGCAAACAATGGACTGAAATCGAAGTTGGTAAATTTTTGAAGTTCGCTCCATTCGGAGTGGTCTGCTCGCCGGATGATTCATGGAGATAAATGTATATAGTATCTCTATTTACAAGAGTCTCTATTTTACATTAAATTGAAGTTCAGACACTTGTGGCATTATCTCTATCTAAAAGAGTATATGCCATCTGTGTGAAATAAGTTGAACGCACAGAAAAACTGTACACGGCTTCTCATGCTGTGTTATCTTCAATTAAAGAAGTGTACACTCACTCATCGCCACTCACTTGATCTCCATGGTCTGGACGCTGAAGATGAGGATCCACCCCACTCTGTGTTGCCCTGATACGGCGATGCTTGATCTTCATATGCCTTTCTCTTTTTCTCCTTCTGTCTTTCCTTTCTTGAATCAGCATACTGCTTCTTCTTGTAGGCCTGTTTGTAATGATGTCGTTCATTCCATGACATATCAGAAGGATCAAGATGGATAAGAATTGGATTATGAGCATCGCGATCATTTGGAGCAACCATGAAGATGTTGTGATCACCATGTAAGCAAGTTTCATTTACCTTGAAGTAAAATTCACCCACATAGTTCATGTGATCTTCATCCTCAAAGTCTTCTGGGTGTTCCTCACACATCAAACGTGAATGACCCCACTCAACAACTGTTAACATACAACAATCACCTTTACCATTTGTCTTGTTCATGAGCTCGTCGGTGTATGTTGCTGTTGTAATGCCATCCAAGTGCGTTGCAAGAAAATCCAAGTCACGATAACTGCAAGAAATGAAATGCTTGACCCTGATTGGAGGGCAAGATGAATCAAAATACTTGCGCATGGCTTGTGTTGCAACACCTACCATTCTGTTGATCCAGAATTGGATAAGGCTATGTTGGTATGTAGGGACACCTGGAGACTTTGGTGTGCTGTAATAGCATGCCTTGTTTCCATCACCTGCGATGAAGTCAACTTGATATCTGGCACACTCAAAAGCCATAACAGCTAAGCACTCACCAACAATCCCAGCAGAGTCTGATGCATACTTCTGTCCGACGTGATAAACGCACACACGTGTCATTCTCATCCTAGCTCTTGTCAAGTCAACAATCTCATCTGTATCTCGATCCTTTGTCTTTCCCCAAGATACTTCAAAGATTGCCCATGAGACTTGTCGAACTCGTGTGTCGTTGTCATCTGTGTGATATCCAGCAATTTGCTTGATATAGCCATCCTTTCCAAGGCGAGCTGCCACCATCAAGTCATGATAGTCATTGAAGCAAGTTTTAAAGTCAACCTCGTCGAGTCTTTCTCTGTGAGGATACAACGAACCAGCCTCGCAATTCATGAAAAGATGTCCTCCAAAGTTCTTGATGACATTGATGAAGTAATTGTTGAACTGTGATTTGTTTTCATCAAATTTTTCATGATCCTCATCGATGGTGTAGTCAATGTGTGGAATGAATTGTTGAAATCTTTCTGGAACCGGGCATTTTTCAAATCTGTTTCTGCACCAGTTTCCCAAATTCCAAAACATTGCTGTTATCTGTGGAGAGGATCTGTATGGAAATTCAGCATCCTTGTACGTTGGGTCTGATAGGCCTCCACCTAAATACCTGTAAGCCAAGCTATGCAAGATCATACAGTAAGGCAAGACCTTGTGGTCCTCAACGTAATCTTGGAGTACCCTTGTGAGATTTCCAAAATCGTCATCAATCCTCTTTTCTGCTTCTT